AGAGAGAGAGAGAGAGAGAGAGAGAGAGAGAGAGAGAGAGAGAGAGAGAGAGAGAGAGGCACATGAGTTAGTAATGTCAGGGTTGAGAGGGAAGTTCATGGTCATCATAACTTCTGGTTATCAATGGGACCGTGATTGAGAAAGGAGACTCCATGCTGCTTCACTGAATAGACATTGTCATTTCAAGTTGCAGCATTATGACACCAGCCTGGGATAGGCCAGCGCTATAGAGAGATAGACTTGCGAAGGGACATTGTAAAAGATTGGCGGTTTAGGAGTGGAGGGTTACAAGCTCGTGGATACATTGATTGGGGCGGCGAGAAGAGAACCCGTGGAAGAAGAGGGAAAAGGAGCGGAAAAAAAATTGAGTACGCATTGTTTATATTTTTAAGATATTCCATTCTTTTGCAGCTTTGCTCTTCTTCTCCACACTGTCTTGTCCTTCATTGCTGTCTCGGTTTGTTTCGTTTGTTAGCATTGAGTTGAGTTGAGCCTTGTGTTATCATTGAGTTCAGCCTTGTGAGTTCTTCCGAGGAGACAGCGCCGATTTGATCGTGAGCATCTGAAGTTTAACAAGTCTTGTGGCAGCACAAAGACAAAGACTGCTCATGGGCCACAGATTAAAGGGACATACTCATGCAAAAGAAAATGCAGTTTGTCTGAGTTTGGACTTAAAAACTTAAAAGGGACCCTCTAGCCTAGTTTAGAGCATAATAATACTGTATTTTTACAGTTTAGAGTGTAATAGAATACATTGCCCTTTAAAGTAGGGTAGGGTAGGGTCCCTTTAAAGCTAGGTTACCAGTCGTCCAATAAGATAGACCTGTTTGGTTGAAATTGACAAAGACATCTGTGGCAATTTTTTATGTTTTTTTCTACGGGCTCAAATGACTCAAATGTTTTTTGGCATATACCTCATGTGGAAGGGAACCCACAGAAAAAAAATCATTTTTTAAAATTTATTATTGCTTTTTTTTGGGGGGGGAAGGAGGGGGGGAGGGGCCGGGCCGGACATACTGTCTCCGGGAGACGTCTTCCCGGTTGTCCGATCAGACAAGTTAGACATCCAGGGGGGTCCCGGACGTCTGAAGACTGGAAAGAGACAAAGCTTTAAAGACTGCTGAAGTAACATAGCTTTAAAGACTGCTGAAGTAAACTAGGGGAGAGTCCCTGTTACAGCACAGAAACAGGATCATAGTGGTATGATCCTGCTCAACTTGCAGTGCAAAACTCAAGTTTGAGACAACTCAAGAGGAACTGGAAAGAGACAAAGAGCGTAATTGAAAGTAGAAGGATGGAAGAAGAAGAAAAGGAAATACACAAGCATGTCGAAGGATAGAAGGAGAAGAAGAAGAAGAAAAGGAAATACACAAGCATGTAGAAGGATAGAAGAAGAAAAGGAAATACGCAAGTTTGAACCAATGTCATCTCCCTCTCTTACGCTAACTTCATCTACTTCTTCCTGCCTCCTCTGCCTCAAAGAACCGATTCATTACAACGATAAACAATGAATGAACAACAATCATGTCTGAGAAATACACACCTTACTGGCAGCACATAAAGAGCTCCGCTTTCAGCCCTCCTTCACTCTTCTGTCTTTGACTGCATAGCTCCAGCTATTGTGGAAAATCCCCGAGTGCAGTGGACGTTCAAAGAAGAACGCAACTACCACCATAGCCACATCGATCAGGTCCAAAACCAACCGGCGGTTGATGGCCTCCTTTTTTTTTAGGAGAGGATCAATCTGCGTTTTTGGGACGTGTACTGGTGGTTTAATTACGGCCAAGTGGTCTTAAGAAGTCTTAAGACTAAGTGTGAGTGTGTCCTTACCCCCTGAACTGAGGTGGTTCAGTTCCCCCATTTCTCTCCCTTTTGGTATCATTTTCTCTCAGCCCTTGATTTGAAACATTCCTTCCACGGGGCTCCCTTTTGTACCACCTCAACGATGGTTATGGTGATCGTTCATTTGAAACCTTCCTTCCGCAGAAAAAAGGTCGCTGAGTACATGGACCATGGAAGATCAAAATGGGCTCGCATACCCAGCAGCAATGTGGCAGAATGCTTCACACGTGCGTACCTGTTAGTAAACAGCTCACGCGTTCGAACCCCAGTTTAACCCTTGCAACTCGTGCAAGGGTTAAATGGGGTTCGAACTCGTGGGTGCAAACTCGTGCAAGGGTTAAACTGGGGTTTGAACCCGTCTTGCAACTCGTGCAACGGTTAAACTGGGGTTCGAACTCATGGGTGCGAACTCGTACAAGGGGTTAAACTGGGGTTCGAATTCGTGCAAGGGTTAAACTGGGGTTAGAACCCTTCTTGCAACCTATCCGTTAAAGACGGGGTCATGCCACTCTCACAACTCTTGCAACCCTTGCAACGGATAGGTTGCAAGATGGGTTCAAACTCGTGCAAGGGTTGAACTGTGGTTCAAACCCATCGTGCAGTTCAACCAGAGATGGGTGGGTGCAAACATAATGTGTGGGGTGGGGCTATCCGTTAAAGACGGGGGGGGTCACGCAACTCTCGCAACACTTGCAACCCTTGCAACTCGTGCAAGTCATGCAATTGGCACCGGAACGCCACAGCTCTGCTTAGCCAAAGCCAATACACAGCTCGTTCTTCTCAAGCGCAGCTGCATTGAGTCGCCCAACCATGCTTAGAAAGTTATAGCTGCGATATAGATCGAGGAGAGGAAAGGTGGAAGGCTGCGCTAGCGCTAGCGCCCTGATGCCGACGGACCGGCGAGGCCCGGTCCCTCTGGCTAGACTAGCGCCTGGGGAGGGGAGCTCCTCGGCTGCTAGGCCTGTGCGCGCGCCCGACAGACGAGCGTGGCTCCTTTCACCACGTGGCGTCCCGCAGCGCACACGTTGTTGGTGACGTGGTCGTCCCGCGATGCACGGGCAGGGGTAGTGCCAGCTGTGAGGTCAACGCAGAAACACAAGAGGGGCGCAGCTATCTGGGTAAGAGATGGAGTTGGGGGGGGAGCTACAACGTGGAGCAGACGAATGGCTGATGACCTTGGAGAAGGGATGCAGGCGGTTACAGGTGATTGTGGGGGAGCTGTCTTTGCGGTCGCATGAGGGACCAGAGGTCGAAAGGGGAGCGATTTCTCTGGACGATTGGTTGAAAGATAGGACTGACGACATGCTGGATATTATTTGGGAGCTGGAGGAGGGGCCGGATCCCCAGCTTAAAGCCTGCATCGATTGGAGGATGGTAGATGGCATGATGGCATGATGTCTACCTGCTATGCCCTCTGCATAGAGGGTTGTAACCTGCGCTATATGCTTGAGGACCGGCTGGAGGGCGATAACGACATGGAGGATGAGGACTGGCAGGAGGATGGAGCAAAGGAAGACGAAGATAACTACGGCGTCAGCATCAACAACAACAACAACAACAACAACAACAACAACAACAACAACAACAACAACAACAACAACAACAACAACGACAACAACATCAACAACAACAACGACAACAACAATGGCCACAGTGACAACAACAACGGCGACAGCATCAACAACAACAACTACAATGACAACAACCATAACAACAACGACAACAACAGCTTCAATAACGACAGCGTGGTCGGGGATGACGGTAAAAGCAACAACAAGGACAACAACAACAAAAACAACAACGATGACCACGGTAACAGCGGGACTGGCAGCAGTGACCGTGCAACCAATTTCATCATCACAATAGTGAGTGAGATGCCGGCATCTGACGTGGACAGTGGGAAGGGGATTGGGGCTGAAACAAAGTGGTCTTCTTATCCTCCCCCCTCCAATCTTGATATGGAATTGCTTCTTGCTGTCCGGCTCAGGGAGGGGGTAGAATAGTCGAAGGGATTAAAAGTGCCGGACCCGCAATTTCAATCAAGGAGGGTGATCAGCCTCTGCTCGGCGCGATGATGGAGATATGGCTGATAGGGTTGATAAAGAGGTTCAGGGTTTCCCCCTCAGATGACATATGTTGATTGATAGATGGCCCCCAAGGGGAGTGGGTAGTTTAGGGTTTCGTGCTCTGCTTTGACTTCTCTGTTGGGGGATTTATGAACATGTGTATTGTTAGGACAATACTTCATGGGCTGGAGGTTAATCCTTCCCTTACACGGGGAAGTAATCAATGCCTCGGCTCTTTTCTGAGATATAGGTTTACGTGCAAACACACAATAGGGATGCTGGTCCCAAATTCCAGCTCATTCACATCACATCTGTTTTAGGGTTTCGTGTCTTGGTAGAATGACATATCCTCACATCACTGTACAGGGACGCCGGACCCGATTTCCAGCTGTTACACACTAAAAAAGGGTTAGGGTTCCGTCTGACAGATAAGACATGCAAAGGCAGTTAGAGATATCAACACACCTCTGCATAGGGACGCTGGACCTGGACAGCCCCCCCCCAGGGACTACCGCCTGGAGTTTAATGATTGGACTAATTTTGAGCCCTCATTCCCTATGAGACCCCCTTCTGATTTCGCGGACCCCTTCCCCCCTCAGTCACTATCCTTAGTCGAGACTCTTTTCTGAAACCCCCCCGCCCATCGGTCAAGAATCACCTCCGGTGCCCCCCAGGGTAGCAAAAGATTCTGCAACAGCTCCGAGTCCTTGCAAGTCTGTGCCATGGGTGGTTTTCTTCAGATTTAGAGTAGGCAGCACAGTCACATCAGGAAGAAGGGTTTAATCTGGCGGCCGGATCAGGGTTGAAGAGATGTCTCTGTAATGCTGCTCTCCGGGTGCCCCCAGGAAATGCTTATCCTTTGTTTTCCCTGGTATGTGGGTCAGGGTATTTGGGGACTCCTTTTCTTAAATCCTTTTCTTACAAACCTGCACAGTCAGTCCTCTGGTTTCCAGAGTAATCAATGCTGGCAGGCTGCCCTTTACCTCCATTCCTGGTATTTTCCAGATCTTCTAGATTCACTCTGTATATGGGATGCTGGACCCGTTTTCCAGCAGGTGATGCTCCCCACCAATAGATGGAGCCTCTCCCAGGTGCTAGTGGTATTTGCTTCTACCAGTACCACTAGCACTGCAGGGGCTGTGTTTAAAAAGAAGAAGAAGAAAAAAAAAAAAAAAAAAAAAAAAGGGACGCTGGACCTGATTTCCAGCAGATACATTCACATCATTGTACAGGGACGCTGGACCCGATTTCCAGCAGATACAGTCACATGATTGTACCGGGACAGCTGCATAAAATATTAAATACTAATTGAAATTATTAAATAAAATAGTAATTATTAATTCTCTGTATTCACAAGATTCCCACTGTTCCTCTAGCATCCTGCGAAACCACAGCCAAGAGAATGGGTTTTAATATTTTATTTTTTAATAATAATAATAATAATAAGTTAAGAAATGTCTGGACACATCCAATGAGAATGAAGAATTGCGGTATCTATCTACTCTCGGGTCCTATTCGTCTATCTGATGCGGAGGTTGTTCGCACTTTGTAGCAAAAGAAAAGGAAGCCGTAAAATCGTAAAATGCAATCATCCTACGAACTCCAGCTCCCAAGTACATCCCCATATAGTCCCTTTGTTTAACCCATAGGCTATAATAGTATAATAATACTTAGTACTTACCGTGCAATTCTCAAACCACGGCACGCGCAGCACCAAAGAACAAGTACGACAGAACCTGCACAGCAAAAATAGATAGAGTTCCGTTAATTAACACACATGCTACTGAAAATCAGACACATTGTTTGAAATTCGAATGTTAGCAGCCAAAGTTGCATGGTCACAGTTGAACTCATAAATCGGACACATAAACAAAAACAAAAAAAAAAAAAAAAAAAAATGGATGCATTATGCGACTGTTGGGAGCTGAGAAGTGCAGTTGACATGGGGACTTGAGCTTGTGCGGCGAGTCGTGCCCATAGTTTGAGAGAAGTTAGAGAACCATGCATTGTCCTTTCTTGCATGCATGCCTCGGAGTGAGCCTTGGTGCCCACAGGAACTTGATTCTCAGATACTCTTTATAGGTAAGACGTCCATAAAAGTTTACTAGACTTTTTTTTCTTTTTTTTTAAGTGAACAGGGCGTTATGGCTCTAGTTTACTAAACATTTAGTACAATGATCCAACTGAAATTTCAACTCTGGTCGCAATCATGCACGTCACTAATGTCCACACACAAACATTCCGACGGAGTTAAACCACGACTACCTTTGACTGTGTGAAACTTCGGTGGCGGGCCTCAAAATTCGTATTTAGAGGCCAGGTGCCGCCGCTGATGAAATATATCAGCGGCCGCCCGTCGCCAGTTTTTTCGGAGCAGGTTACTTTTGCGACTTCTCGTCCAGTGAGAAAGGTGGTGCTAGTTTTTTTTTTTTTTTTTTTTTTTTTTTTTTTTTAATCTGGGCCTTTCTGGCACTATTTGAGCTCCACAATGCAAGTAGGATTTGCAGGTTTCTGTAATTTCAAGGATGTCCTAACATGGAAAGAATGGACTGTCCCAATATGGTAGGAATGAACTGTCCTAATATGGTAGGAATGATATATTTCGCTGACCGGGAGTGAGCCTCCAGTGCGAATAGGATTTTCTTCAGGTTTCTGTAATTTCAAGGATGTCCTAATACGGAAAGAATGGACAGTGCCACACAGACCAACTCCAGTCTCCAGATTTGCTAATATGGTAGGAATGGACTGTCCTAATATGGTAGGAATGATATGCTTCGCTGACCGGGAGTGAGCCTCCAATGGACATCCACAGACAGCAACACTCATGCTCATGCATGAGCCACCAATGTCATGAACTCGTTAGCTCGGCCCAAGATCCCTCCTTCACCCACCAATGTCATGGGAACTCCAAATGTTGAAAAATATGCTATAAATGGAAAGAGATAGATTGACCCAGTCTTGAACCACGAGTACCTTTGGGTGCTACCCCGGTTAAGCAATAGGACAGCCCTCTCTTTGTTGGTCCATTGTAGGGACAAACAAATGGCCACAGGTGTGTGTTTCATGGCTGCGAGGCTCGGGCCAGTTTTCAGGAGTATGGACTCTGGAGGGTGGTTTAATCCCTTTTCTCACCAACTTACTCCACCCTCTTTCAGGGAAGTGTGCTCTCGCCAGAAAATTAATTATTGCTGAAAATTTGCAATACAATTTGAGTTAATGCATGCCTAGAGCACAGGCTGTAATCCTCACAAGATAAAAGCCTCCATAGACAAATCTATGAGTGGATCACTTCAGACCCACAAGTGGTTAACGGGGATCCCCACTTTCAGCTCCTGCCTAAGGGGTCCAAAACTGAAATTAGGGTTTGGGGATCAATTTTTTTCTTTTTCCTTTTCTTTTTTTTTTCCCTTGCCTGTTTTTGATTTGGTGTAAGGTACTGTGTGCCAAATTTGGCATCATTTGAGCAGAAAGGCTTACTGTCCCCCATCTGCACCTTTCGCGGTAGGACGACATTGCCCGCCAGGGCAACACTCGAACACTGCCTGTTGGCGTGCCCAATGGTTGCCCAAATATGGAGGTGGTGGGACGCGGCGTTCCATTCGCTCACGAACATGCATATCCCGTGGGACCTGGGCCTTATCTTGCTAGGCAAAAAACAACATCTACTACGGCACTGGACTCCATTTGCTAGCCTCTTCTCATACATGAGACTACACGTTCTCATGCAAGCTTGGAGAGCTAGATGCTCCTTTGAGAGAAAAGACCACCAATACGGTCTGCAGCAAGCACAGCAGGCGATAGAGGACGAGATCAGATCTCGCACACAATATGCCTGGAAAACCATGAAACAGAACTATCACGATGAAAGAGATGCCACTCTCAAAGAAGCTTTGAAGGAATCCTACTGCCAGATCTGGCAGGACCAGCACCACGCCTTCTCTGACCTCCTAGACGACCTCCACATACGATGGAAAAATTGGAGGGCGGGTAAACCATTCTGGCAAAGAAGACCCCTAGATGATTTTGCAGTCCCATACATACCGACCAACTTTCTGCTGATCCCTCAGAATCCCCACCACACAATCGCCCCTGCCCCAGCTCCGCAGTAACCCATCCTGAGCCTCAATCAATGTGCCCTCTTTCGCCACCTCCCCCTCTCGACCCCCTCCCACTCCTGAGCCTCAACCATCCCGCCGCCTCTACACCTGCTGCAGACGATGTGAACAACTGGACGTCTTCAAGACGATGTGGCGAACAACTGACATGATAGCGGTTACCAGATACCAGTTACCATACTCAGATGTCTGCATAAACAAGTCAACATGTTGTTCTGGGACGCTGGCCCCGGTTTCCAGCAGGTGCAGCTCCCCACCAATAGATGGAGCCTCCCCGAGAGTGATAGCGGTGTTTGCTCTTATCAGCACCCCTACCACCATCTCGGGCTGTTCTGATTTGAAAAAAAAAAAAAAAAAAAAAAAAATCATTTGGGCCATTGCAGTTTCCTCTGAAATTTCTCAAGATTTGTGAAATTGGAATGTTGGTGAAATTTCACGAAAGTGCACTTTTGCCTTGCTGTTTTACCGGCTTTTTCAGTTTTTTTTTTCTACTTTTGTGTTTTTTAAGTAGTTAGTATGATCTCCACTCTATGAATTGATGGCAAGTTTGCTTAAAATGACCCTTGGGTTTTGTTATAAATGGCATAAGAAGTTTGAGAAGTTGTCCGAAAAGTGAGGCCTCCGTTAAACGCCTCTCTTCAGCCTCCATAGCCAAATCTCTCTTCCTCCATAGCCAAATGTCTCAAAGGCTCACCTCAGCCCACCCCATATCGCCACCTTTCTTATCTACCAAGCATGAGAGCAGATGCTGGACTCCCAACCATAGCCTAAGCGTAAAGATGCCCCTCTAGAAAGTACATCACTGCTTTCCTAGACACACAGTTAAAGTCACCACCGCTCCACTCGGGCAACGCATGCATCATGCAATCAATCACTGGAAACTGGAAAAAGCTTTGACATCAACATATGATGGGGCTGTAATGTCGAGGGCTTTATTGACTGGCACTCGTAAAAGATTGAGGGCTATACACAGTGGAGAGAAATTTTGAGACATTTTGAGACATTTTGAGGGATGTGACATCATTTATGACTCCTCAGCAACACAGTGGAGAGAGATTTTGAGAGAGTAAGCGACATTGGACAGATTGAGACGGAAGTGGACAGAAATATAGAGTGAATCCAT